AACACTTTTAAAGGGAAATTGATTTTCAAAGAATGTGACATGCCTAGATATGTAGATACGATGATTTGAAGGATTATAACATTTATATCCTTTTGATGTTTGGGCATAGCCGAGGAAGACACAAGCAACTGAGCGTGGTTGAAGTTTGTTTCGATGAGGAGGAGGGATCCATGGATAGCATAAGCAGCCAAAGGTCCGAAGGAAAGAGTAGTCTGGCCGAACATTATATAGGGCTTGATAGGGGGATATGTTTGATGAACCAGCTGTTGGTAGTCTATTAATAAGAAAAACAGCAGCCAGCAAAGTATCAACCCACAGTTTGGAAGGAATGTTGGCTTCGAACATGAGAGACCTCGTTGTTTCGAGGAGGTGACGGTGTTTACGCTCGGCTAAGCCATTTTGTTGAGGTGTGTAGGGACATGAGAGACGGTGAGTAATGCCGGAATTAGCTAAAAATTCTTTGAATGATTGGTTGATAAATTCGCCACCATTATCAGTTTGAAATTGTTTAATTTTTGTTTGAAATTGAGTTTCAACTAGAATTTTGAAATTTTGAAATACCGGTAGAACATCAGATTTTGATTTTAAAGGAAATACCCAAGAAAAGCGTGTGAAATCATCTACTAGAAGAAGGTAATATTTGTAACATTGAGATGACAAAATTGGGGAGGGTCCCCATACATCAGAATGTAGAAGTTCTAAACATTGTTTAGTGGTAGACTTAGATAAGCTAAACGGAAGACGACGACTTTTCGCTCGAACACAGGAGTCACAGTGGTGCTTGGACGGGCGGAGGTAAACTGGTTTGTTCTGACGAGATGTTAACCTCTTCACTACAGAGCAATGCATAGAGTTCATCCAATCCAATGGGCCCTGCTCTTGTTCGGATGGCTGTTTTGAAGGCATTGTATGATTGAGGCAATCCGTTGAGCGTGTAGAAGATGACATCTTCTGTTTCAATGGGCGCTCCAGCAGAGGCAATAGCATCGACACGCTGCTTGATGTCCGATAGATACTGGAACATGGTTTTATCCTGCATTTTAAGATGATGTAATTCATTTTTAAGCTGTAGTAGACGAGAGCGTGTAGATGCTTGCAGGCGATGTTCCAGAGTGTGCCAAATGTCCACGCAGGTGGAGAGATTAAGTACATATGGCAATAGCGGCTGAGAAATAGATGAAAATAGAGCAGCAGCTAAGTTTTGATCGATTAAATGCCAGGATAAATATGCGGGATTCATAGAGAAGGAATCTGCTGGAAGGTGCTTGGGAGGTGGACGTATAGTTCCGTCGAGATAGCCGGTGTAGCCATTGGCGCCGAAGATTTTTAAAACCTGGGATCGCCAGATGGGATAATTTGAGGCAACAAGTTGTACATTAAGTACAGACTTGATATTTGACATAAGAAATTTTAGCTGTGGTGGGATAACTGGAGCAATAGGAGGTGCAGGGGAAGTGGTGGTGGGCGTCATCGGCTCAGCTGCCGTAGAAGATGCTTCGGTGTTGGCCATAGAGTGGACTAGAAAGGCAAGCGAGGGTATTAGAGAGTGTCCTGCTCTGATACCATGAAATGTGAGTTAAGCAGTAAAGTAAAACCAGAGAGAAATCAAGAACAAGAGGAAGACGATAGTCATTTCAGATGACTCTCATCTGTTTTACTTAACGCAAACATTGCTACAGTAATACAGTTTTTATAACCAAATACTAAATGATTAAAGAGACTGCAGTAGCCGCCTTGCCAGACCACCACTGCGACTCACTGAGTCATGCCAGAGTGAGTGGGAAGCCATTTGTCTAAGACGTTGGCAGGGATACCGAATAAGCACAGTAAGTCATTATCAACACATGCTACTAAAGTGCATGGTTTAACACCGACTTCAATCCTTCCGACCGCCATCGCCCAACTACGGTCCTCCCAACCTCCGTTGCCCGCCAACTACGGTCCTTCCAACCACCATCGCCCAACTACGGCCCTACCGTCCTCCATCACCCGCCAACTATGATCTTCCAACAACTATTACCAACTTTTTTGACCACGATATCCCCCCGATACGATCCTTCCAATCACTGTCGCCCAACTGTGGTCATTCCCACCATTGATGCCCAACTATAGTCCTTCCTACTAACTTCATGTGAGACCTCGTTCCCTTACTGTTCCTCTATGATTTGGATTTTTCCTCTCAGGATCGTCCAGGACGATTTTAGATCGTCCAGGCCGATCGGTACTGTAGAAAATATCGGCCTGCAGATAGTTCTGGGAACCGTCCAGGACGATTTTTCTGGTCTGATCGTCCCGGGACGATTTGGCGATCGGCCGGGCCGATCAGACAAATGATATATGAGAATGAGATCGTTTTGATGAGAGAGAAAATATTTTAAAATAAAAAATATCTGATTTTAGAGAGAGAAAGAGAAAAGGAAAAAGAGGAAAACCTGGTTTTGGAGGCCGCGGAGCGCTTTTCGTCCGACGCTGCTGTTGGGAAAAGTGAAGATCTCGTAGTAAGGACTCCGAACCCTATTTCTGTTTTCAAAGATATTGAGTTTTGACCGAGTTATGATTTGTTTTGTATTTTCGTAGTCGACTTTTCGACGTGATTTGGATTTGGCACAACTTTCACCGCACAACTTTTGATATGTTATAGATATGATTATTGCACACGATTTGACTGTATTCTACGAAGATTTTACCGGTCGGAATTGATTCTACGCGATTTTAATCGAATAGAAAATTATCGGGACTTGATTTGATTTGATTTCTATAGACTAATAGTCTTGTATTGATGTTATCGATATTCTATTGTAATTTGGAAGAATTTGGAAATTGTGTCTTTTTGCAGGAGATTTTTGTGTAAATTTGACCGACTGCCGTTACTCTGCCCGATTTTCGTACGATTTCTGATTTGGTTGAAATTGATTGATTGAATTGATATGCGTATTTTATTGACTATGGATTTCCGTATTGCATAGATTCATTGACCATTGACTGATATGATTTGATTGACTGTGATTGATTGACATGCATATTGATAGCATCGCCGTGCTTTGATTTCAGTTATAGGTATTAGGTGACCTGCTGGGCTTTGTAAAGCTCATTATATGTGGTTGATATTTTCAGGTCAGGGCAGGGGAGCAGAAGATAGGAATTGATCCAGATCTTCAGGTTTTTGTCTTTTGATTGATTTTGATTCTTTTGTACTCAGGATAGATTTTAGTACTGGTGATTGTAGTGTAGTTCCTGAGTATTGTACATGACTTTTGAGATATGAATCGACTTGTATATTGATGTTTATTGTACATGACTTTTGAGATATGAATCGACTTGTATATTGATGTTTTACATTTTATAGATGTTTGATAGACTGCTTAATTGAAGGTTTTAGATAACTCTGGTAAATTGTTTGGAAGATTTGATTGACATTCTTTCCTAAGTTAGATCTTGGGGCATCACACGTCATCCGACTATGATCCTTCTGACTTACATCACTCGTCGACAATGTCTTGCCACCCAAACGAACATATCACCACTGATTCTTCCAACTCCTACCATATAATGCACTACACAAGATGTATATTTGCTACATCAAGCCAAGACCTTCCTCCTAAGGGAGGACCTCATTTGAAATCAATTGCAAGAACTAATAGATTTATTCAAATTGGGACAAGCCCTATGATTTTTCCCCTTATTTGCGGTTATCATGTAAAAATTATAGTATCTCTTACAAACGTGATAAATATATTCTTTTATTTATTTATGTGCTGGATCTTCGTATAAAGCTAAGACGCTAAATTATATCACTCTCTACCGTCACAAATATTTGAGGACGCAATAATAATAATAATAATAATAATTTTAGATGTGATATATATGCAAATGAGTAAATCTCAAAAATAAATAATAACTAAATGACGAGAAGATCCTTTAAACCAACCTAGCAACGTGAACTAATCATGTCAGTGCCGTGGACCACATTTTATGGCTTCTCGTAGTCACTTTCGTCGACGTGCCTTTGCCTCCTGCGCCTGTTGTTCCATTTTTTAATTATAAACTATATTAATAATTTTTAGTTTTGTATCAATGAGTAATTAATTGCTCTGCGAAAATCATTAAAAATAAAATATTTTTGGCCGTCGGATGCCGAAACATGCGGCTTGTGATCGACTGATGGGCTTATCAGTGCTTCCCGTGACGAAACGGCCGACGGTGTTCAACAAAAAAGATAAGGTTTTACTTTCTCATCTTTGCTCTTTTGATGTTTTTGTTCTTTTGATGTCAAAATCTGTAATTGATTAGCGATAAGATCTCGTGACTCGTCCGAGAGCTGCTCCTTTCAAACTAGGGTTCATCTGTTGATCGGCATCTGTTATTGGTTCTTATTTACCACTTTCTCTTCAACTATTTTTTCTTGAAATTGGTTCCCCTTCTTCTGTTGAATAAATCAAACCGATTTTTGTAACTCGGTGTTTATTATTTTTATAGTTTGTAGCATATGCAGATTGCTATTGAGATAAAAAAAATTGTAACTGGCTTCTTTTTGTTTTTGTTTTTGTTTTTTTTTTTATGGGGTTATTTTACATTCGATTTCTTTTTCTTCTTGGATTTCCTTGGGAGAAGCTTTGCTGTTTTTTTTTTTTTTTTTTTTTTTTTTTTTTTTCTGATTTTTTGTTCTTTGTTTTTTTGGATTTTTATGATGGTTATGAATATTGGTGCACCGAGGATTGCAAAGTTAGTTTTTAGACGAAATTTAATGGAAATTTGTGAAGTTTATTTTGTTTTCTTCTGCAACTTCATTTCTGGAAGTGGTTTGAAAATTGTGATCTGTTTACGGTTGCTTACCAAATCAGCGACCTTTTTCCCTTCTAGATCATTTAGATAATATCCATTTTATCTATGTTTTCTCATTGAATTCCCAATATTGCAAAAAGGTTTACTCTGATTGGTGTGCAGAACCTTGCTGCTTATTGTTTTAATAGCTTTTGATGTCAACTTTTCCACAACTCCTTCCGTACCTCTTAGTTGTTTTTCTTATTTTGTCGTTGTTGCTGTACAGGGTTTGTGGAAATAAACAATATAAAAAGAGTCCCTTTGTCTCTTTTTTTGCTATATTCTGTGCTTACGTCTGCGAGGTGCCATGTCTTTTAATGGAGATGAGGATTTTGATTATGTGGCCGACGAGGGTGATATGGCCAATGTGATGGACGATGAAATGTTTGGGGATTCCTTTGAGAAAGATAGAGTTAAAGTTGATGATGATTATGAACTGGTTAGTTTGCTTTCAGCATGGCTGCTTCATGCACAGTTGCTGGGTTTTCTCATTTGTTTTTACATTTCATGCTTTCAATGATGATACAGAGTTATGATTTACTGATGCAACTCTCATTGCTTTAATCAGCTCACTAGGGTGACAGATACATCCTCTGCACAAGCAAGGAGAGGAAAGGATATCCAAGGTATCCCATGGGACAAATTGCATATAACTCGACAAAATTATAGAAAGACCCGAATTGATCAGTACAAAAATTATGAGAATGTTCCATCATCAGGGGAGGAAATGAATAAGGTTCTTTTTGTTATCATTTTCATAATATTTTTGGGAGAATGGCCATTTTAACTTCGTTGTGCAATATTGACTGAATTTCTCTTTGCAATTTTTCTTTTCGTTTTTTGGTATTCTTAGAAATGCAAGCAAATGGAAATAGGTGGCAACTATTATGAGTTTCAATACAACACAAGACTGGTGAAGCCAACAATTCTTCATTTTCAGGTTATTGATCTTTGACCTGATTTTCATCATTCCATAGAATGTAAAATGCTTGGAATTCAAACTTTTACATAGTGGAATAGACTATAAATTTGTCCATGGTCAGCCATTTCTTGCTATCATTTTAGTTGACCACCAGCTTATTGTGTTGGTTTTAATCTTTATGCTGTTCTAGCACACTATTGTTTATTGGCATGAAAGAATGGTTAGGTGCATTTGTGTGTCGTCTGAATCTAGATATTTGGTTAAAAATTAGTCTTTCAATTTTTATGTTTTGTTTCTTTATTTCATTTTCTAATTTATAAAATGCATATATTTTGATAGCCATGTTGAAAAAAATATGGTTCTAGCCAGCAAGGGACAAGGGTAGAAAATATTTCAGAAACATGGATGTACTATGATTATTGTCATGATTAATTCACCTAAATCCCTAAATAGATCTTTTGGGAATGTGTGTATGATGGCCATGCTCTGTTGATAAATTTCTCTGTAATTTTATATGTTTGTCATTGCGCTTCATAATTTTTTTTCTTTTGATTCCTAATTGTTTGTTTGCCCCCATTTAGTGTTTTAAGGCTTGAATGGTGCAATTTTCTTTTTTGTCCTGCTTTCAAATTGGTAATGCTTTGATGCTATCTCGAGGCGTTACAATTTTTCTGTGAGCTTCATTTCTCATGAGCCTGATGTAACAAGTAATGTTGCTCCGAAACCTGCTTGGTAGCTTTACTATTTAGCCTATTGCAATTGTATGGCGTTTTATTACTTGCCTGAAGCAACCGGTAGCTTGGCTTTAATGTTATGTTTGGTTTGGATGATTGGGAGAAATGCAAGCATTTTACTTCACAATTTCTTATTGGGCGTTTGGTTCCAATATAGTTAATGGGTCATTGGATTTACCTAGCAAATCTGAAAAAAATGCATCATTTCATAAAATACATCTTTTCACTGTCAATTATCTATCCAAATATAGTGAAAATATGAAGAACATTTATAGAATCATCAATGTAACTCACATATTCTTTCCTCATAAGAAACTCATTTTCTTCTCTGCCAAACATGTCGGTGAAAACTAATTTTAATTTATTTCTTCACCATTTTCATTTCCATTCCATGCTCATGTCCTTTTTATCTTCTCACTTTCAATTCTATCAAATCAATCATATCCTAAATGAATTATGTGGGCTTCAGTGGAGAAATACTTAAAATTTGCGTCGTCAATTATACTATTTTCACTTTCAAGTTGTTTTCACGAAATTAGAATTTTTATTAATTGCAAACGATTGTATGCATACTAGCAACTTTTTTAGCGTTTGGTGATGGTGATTTCTTATGAAGGTTGAATATGAATACTTGATATATTTATGAAATTGAAATTAGATGTGCCAAAATAGAATATTTTATATGATTACAGCTGTATGAAGGCCTTGAGGTGGATAAAGGTTTTGTGAAAAAAGGTGTTTTTATGAATAACTTTCACCTATTCTTCCTCAACATGTTGCCATTGCTTTTTCTTTTATTATTAAATAGAAATATGTTATTGAGCTATATAAGTTGGTGGACTTAAATCTTGTTAGGATTTGCTTCTAATAAGTGAAATATAAGATGCCAAATCAGGTAATTAAAGATTTTTTAAGAGGGTATTGTATTTACATTGTACGTGATGACGGACAGCCTTATCAAGGCTTGATTATCTAACTTCTATAAAACTAACTCAGGATCTGTTGGCTGTTTATTTATTTATAGTTGACTTATTATTTAAGGATCTGAATTTGCAACAAGCGGGGCTCCTTCCAACAGCACCATCCTTATTTCTTAAATCTTCTTAATTCTGCTTTGGATCATTAAATTAACGCTTCTCCGTTATACTTTCTTCATATTGTTGTTCTCCGTAGTAAAATGGGATGCCTAGTTATAGAATTGTATTGCGACTGGATTTTTTTTTTTTTGCCAATTTCTTCTTATTATTCCTTCTTGCTCTTCTGTGAAAACAATATTCTGAAAAGTTTTTAACCTTTTGTATGTCCAAGTGATATTTTATTTTCTTTTATGGATACTTTTCAGGCCATTTGTCTAGTTTGTAATTGTCAGTTTTTGGAATTTTGTCGTGAGAATTTCATTGCAGAGCTTGTTATCTACTTAAAAGTAAAATTAACCTTTGCGCACGATGCTTCTTTCTTGATATTATTGTTATATGTAAGAACATCTGATAGCTTACTTGAGAAGTTTTGCGACTTGCTATTTTTGCTGTTCTCTTTGTCCAATCATATATTCCTTGTCTATGAATATGTTAGACCGGTCCTCCATGGACCGGTACAGCCGGCCCAGCACCTTGGGCCGGTTCGGTGCGTATACAGGCGGAGGAAGCCGGCGGAAGAAAGGGGCAAGGAACCGATGGGGTCCACTTGATTTTCAAAGTAAATTTTGGAGCCAAAAGGAGGAGAAACAAGGGCAATTAGGTCCTTTTGTATTAGATTTGAATTTTATGCATTAAGTAGGGAGTAAAGGGGGGAATTAGGGTTATGTCATGTTTTGGTGAAATTTTCTTGTCTTCTTTGGTTGCTTGGGCTCTAGATTGAATTCTAGAGATTTGGAGAGTGTGATCCTCCTCTCGAATAGAGGATCCTTGTATCTTTGCTATTTTTCTTGCATGTATTAGTAAAATACAAGTATTTTCTCCACGTTTTCTGCAGTTTTCTCTGTTTTTCTTCAGATTTGGGCTGTTTTCCTGCTGTGGACAGCGGTTGGATTTGTGATTTGTTGCCAGAGTGATTAGGAAATACTTGAAATCAAGTATTTCCTATCAGAATACAAATTTCTGAAAGGAGTTTTTACATATGTCACATAACACTTTATGTTCTCTTAATCAACTAATAGAGTCAGCTTTGTTCTTTCTTTTGTGATGACTGCATGGTAGAGCCTATTATGTAGTTGTCGAAGTTAAATTAACCTCTCCCTCTCCCTTATTGTGCTTTCATGTTATAGCTGTTCGCTAAAAGTAATTTGATGGCTTGCTATAGATGTTTATATTGACTGGCTATTTACCTCTCTGTTATCTGTGAATATAACTTCTGAAAGCCTTTAAGGGTTTTTTTTTCTTTTTTCAATATATTTGACCATGTACAGACTTTATTTCCGATCAGCTTAGTTCATTCTTTGTGATGATCATTTATAGGCTTCCTACTTGAACTAACTCTCCCACCCCCTTTTAATTTCTTAATGCGTTTTAAAATGTTACTTGTATTGGTGATTCCTTTTCCATGGTTTCCTCATGTGCAGCTCATTCTAAAAACTACTTCTTGACCATATTTTTCTGCTTTCAGCTGAGGAATTTGGTATGGGCTACTTCCAAGCATGACGTCTATTTTATGTCAAATTCGTCAGTTATTCATTGGTCTGCAACATCTTGCAACTTGTCAGAGGTCCTCAATTTTTCAGAACATGTCGCTCCTAAAGAGGTATAAAGCATGATACTTTTTTTGTTTGTCAAATTAAACCTTATGGACAAGTTGTAGATTTATGCTATCAGCTTCCTCCTTAAACAGCATTTAATTTTATTCAAGTTTCTGAAGCGCATTAAATTAATTGTTGCAGAGACATTCTGGTAGTTTGATGGCAGGGTTTTCACGTACTCAAATTAGCACGCTTGCAGTAAAGGACAATCTACTAGTTGCAGGAGGTTTCCAAGGAGAGCTAACCTGTAAGGTTAGAGATTTTAATTTCTTTAGTGAGACTACAAAAGTGTCAGGAAGTGTGCATTTTTGTACATCAATATAACTGATCTTGATGTTATGGCGGTGGCGCCCTTTGTTCTTTATTGCCCATTTTTTTCGGTTAATTGCTGATGTTAATCTTGGCTAAGCTGAAAATTATTGTGTTAATTTTTATACATCTTGCCAAAAAAAAAGAACTGCATTTTAAACCCCAGATAACCATAGTTAGTTGTTAATATTAATGATGAACATGTGGAAACAATCCAACCATGCATTAATCTAAACGAAGTGTTTTAATTTAATCTAAATGATATAATCTATTGCCTTGCATCTCATCGGTCCTTATGGTAAGTGGCCTGGCTTGGTCCGTCCAATGGAGTATGGTAATGTTAAACATGTTAAGGGTTTTAATGCATCTAATATGAAAGAAGAAAATTATGCAACAAGTACTCAAGCTTCATTTGCTACAAACTTTTAATATTTTAATAATTATTCACTATTTTTGATGAAAATTAAAAGTAAAATGAAAATCACTTGGATGATAATTCTATGACTTTGTAATTAAAAATAATGAATAGAAACTCAAAACATAGAAAACTACTTAGTTAGAATCCACATAGTTGTTGAAAAATAGATTGCACAAATTTGAGTGAAATCAATCACGTGATCAATCCAATAAAAATATTTGGAATAAGGTAAAAGTAGATAGAAAATTCTAAATTTTTCATATCATTGCCCTCAACAAATAGTTAGGGAGGGTGGATAGGTTTTATTTTAAGTTATGAATGGTAAAATTCACTTGAATGGTTTGAATTTTATAAAATTTTGATTTTTACATCTTTGTATTTGAAAGTGAACTTGAAGTTATTCATTTTGAAATTTGGGGGCATTTTTAAAAATAAGACCCCCTTTGGTTGAGATTTACTTTCAATACGATCATCATCTAGGTGTTTGAATATTTTATTTTGTTATTTGAATCTTATAATTAAGTTTGCTTGCTTGCAGAGATTATGTTCAAAAAGTAATTTTGCAAGCTATCATATAAATGGCGAATTTGATAGTTATCATTTTTAGAATGAATTTTTTTTGTAAAAGGCATTGAAGGCCTAGTGCAAACATAAACTGAAATATTTTTGTGGATTTGAAAATCATATATTCATTTATTAGATTTAAACCTTACTGACTTATATCCTACTAGGAGGATCAAATTTGAATTTAAGTTTACTTTTATTTTAGCCCACACATTATTCATAGACATTAGATTTAGGAATTTGATGCATTGGTCCGAGCATATGAGGGAGAATTGATTTTAATTTTGAAAAGGGAAATTTTTGTTCAACTTGCTTTTGAGTTTTGAACCCATGCAGCATTTTCAGATCTTGTATTCAAGCATTTAACATGTTTATCAGAACACATATAGGAAAGGTTTAAATAAAAAATAATAATTCAATTTATTCTTGACCCACGTTTGTTGATGCACATGCGGTGATATTTAATTTTTAAGAAGAAGATTTAATTCAATTTATTCTTGATCCACATAACATTATTAGACTTTCTATTTGGGCATTCAACAATTTTTTTAGATCAGACGCGGGTAATTGATTTCAATGATATGATATGTTACACATGTTTTTTTAATGCATTTACACAATGTACTTGCATGCTTTTTGGTGCACATACGTGATGCTCTTGTACATTTGCACAATCTTTGGTGCACTTACACAATCAATAATACACTTGCATGTTCTTCTATTTTCTTAAACAGTGCATTTACATGTTTTCAGTATATTTACATTATAAATTTAGAGGATATATTGATAAGATTTCTTTCGGTGATTTGACGCATCCCACACATTTTGTAAAAATGGTTGTGTGACCCATGATGAACAATACTGCACTGCTTTGTCTCATTTAGTAAATATTCCTTCATGAGATGTAATGTTAGCTCACAAGATGTATACGTGCTCTCTTCTATAGTAACATGCTTGTACGCCGCCTAGGACACTCTCTTCTATAGTAACATGCTTGTACGCCGCCTAGGACACTTATACACTTGTAATATGTGTTAAGTTTGACAATTTCGTCTTATTTGAAAATCATTCACGTGACAACAACGGTTTGAGATGTGCAAGGACTTGATGTGGTAGTTGTTCACATTAATGTATTATCCACGAAACGTGCACGTGACTTTGTACTTTGAGCTCATTATTGCTTGCAAAACTGACTTCACGAAATTCGTTATTTTATCTTTAATGGCCAAACATTCTAGGGGTATTCCAAGATAGAATTCCCTTGATACTTAAGCTATGTTTAAGCTATGATCATCTTGATTTTCTTATTTTAAGTATTGAGATATGGATGCATTTTATCCATTAGCTTAATATATACTTATCATTATTCTAGTGTGTCAATGGATACAAAATAGGCATTTATGTAAGCTTGGAGGGCAATAATTAATTTTGGAATAAAGTTATAATTCCCTTTAAATTTTACTTGTAAATTCTCTCCTCTCTCTCACTCAATAATTCTCAATTCATGCCCTTAGCCAAGTCATAAACACACTCTCTCCCATCTCCTTTTAATTTTGTCCAAAGTACTACCCAAACTCCATTAGCATGAATCCCATGGTGGTAATTAGTCTCTCTCTCTCATGGGTAGCTTAGGAAAAAATTCTATTAACTTTCTATTTTAGTTAAAAAAACTTAGTTCACCAAATGATCCAAAGGCCTCTCACAAAGGTAGATTAGGAAAAAATTCTATTAACTCGATAAATGGTCAAAAGGCCTCTCGCATCATCGCGGTCGCTTGTAGTAGCACTCATTTTGCTCGCAACACGTCTCATCACTCGCACTCGTTCGCAACAGGATGACCTCTTTTGCATCTCGCTCGCAGAGCATCGAAGCACGACGCCTTGCTCACAGTTGCAAGCCTTCTCCCTTACACAGTTCGGTCTCCAGTTCCATCTCCAGAAAATATAGTAGGAAGGCGAACGATTAGGCAAGATGTTTTTTTTACTAAAATAGCCATAAAGAAGCACATGCTTGTGGCTTCTTCCATTAATATAAATGGAAACTTTAATAAAGGGATCAAATTTGACAATTTTTTGTAGTTAAGGGACTAAATTAGGGCAAAGTGAAACTCTGAGACTAAATTGGGGTAAAGTGAAACTCTGAGACTAAATTGGATAGTTTTCAATTTTTGGGGACTGTTTTAAGCTTTTAGTCATTTTATATTAGTTCAATAAGTTTACACACCCTAGTTCCATATCATTTTTGATATCAAAGACAGCCTCAAATTGTAGAAAATTTTTAGTTGTCAACTTAAGGCTAATACTCTTGATGGTTCCATGGACCCTGAAATTTATGACTACTACGAGATATTGCAGATAATTGAAGGGGCCTCTTTTTCTGTTAGTATAAATGCCCTAGTAGAAGACTATAATGATTGTTGCAATTGAATATCTTATTCTACCATCATTTGTTTCACCGCCATTTGTTTAAACAGAAGCAAAGGTATCAACTAGGACATAACAATATACAAAGGAGAATCCATCACTAAGAGATAAGCTGAGAAGAATACAGAAATGAGAGAAGATTCTCTTAAAGGTAGAAACAAAGCTGGAGTTACCTTTTTCAATAAAATAATCAAGGCTGGGGTATTTGAAAATCGGTTCAAGCTCCTAGAAATATATTTCTTATTCATGATTTTCGTTATAGGAAGATTATATTTGTGAAGCTATGAAATGCATCTTCTTGACTAGATCTTGTTTTGTTTTTGTAAGGTCAAATAGTGTTTCTCTCTGTTATATGTGAATGAGAGTACCTTTAGTAGCAAAGGAAGGACAAGGAATTAGAAATTTGGCTGAGCTTCAGATCTATGACGTATTATATATAGTTATCTATAGTGCAATACTTACCTGGCATCTTTTTGAGGCTTTAACTCTTAAAGGATTCAGAGCTAGTTTAAGGTTTTAAATATACATACAAAACCTTTGAACTAATCTGGTGTTATGTTGTGGAGTCGGAATGGTGAGATGATGAGAACTGCTACAATTGTTATTTCAGTTGCAAGGGAGGAAGGCTGTAAATGGTACAGCTTAGACATATCTTTTGTCTCCGTGATATTGCTTAAAAATTTAACAAATGAGGATGCATTTATTAGTTGCCTCATAGTGTATTTATTTTGTGATAATATGTGGTAGAAGATTTGGTCAGTAATGGCGATAACTCTAGTTAAGTGATGTACAAGTCGTCTTCTTTTTTCTTAATGTGTCTGGAAGCATGAAGGCCTTACACATTGAATTTCAGACTTCATGCTTCAGGTTTGGGATGAGATACTTTTTTCAAGTCCAGTATTATGGATTGTTTTGGCCTGTTACGAATCAACTTTATCTGCCATGCTGTGATTCATTTGAACTTCATTATCAGATCTAGCGGTGATGATGATTATACGAAAGACAAATATTAATTTTCCTTTTTACCCATAAAATGCTTTTTATGTATTTATGTTGCAGTTTTTGAACCGGCCTGGGATTAGCTTCTGCACCAGGACAACCTTAGATGACAACGCAATTACCAACGCCATTGATATATTCAAAGGTCTTAGGTATTGTTATTATTTTCCTTCAATTCGTAAATATGAAGGCTCTGAAGAAAGATCTAAATCTATCATTTAAACCAAAAACTCTTCCTCTAGTGGTAATCTCCGATTCATGGCGTCCAACAATGATAGCAGCGTTCGGGAATATGAGACAGAAAGGTTTCAGCTCCTGAATCATTTTCGGTTTCCTTGGCCTGTAAATGTAAGTAATATACTATACAACATTTATGTGGTTTGTTAAAAAAGTTTCATTTCACTTGCATTTTTCTTATTCATCCTTTCTATCATTGACAGCATACATCCATAAGCCCTGACAGGAAGCTTGTTGCAGTTGTTGGTGACTGTTGTGATGGTTTGCTGGTGGATTCACAGAACGGGAAGGTATATTTTGGAACAGTAAAATAGCTCTTTTTATATGCTTTCATATATTCCATCTTGCAAGCCATTTCATCTTCTTATTGTCTGCTCTTTCAATAGTTGAGAAGCAGAGCCCTGCATTGGGTACCCATACTCACACCCACCCATACCCAATGGGCATGAGTGGGTATGGGTACACCCATGGCCTCGTGGATGAGTATGAGTGGGTACCTATGATGCACAGACACGGACACGACGACATGGATACGACATGACACGAACACGTGACACGTCAATTATTGAAAATATAGGACACGAACACGGGTTGGACACGACATTATAGTTTTTATATTTTATAAAATATTGTATAAAAATTAAATAAGTATAATTTTAAAAATAATTTAGAAAAAATAAGTCATTTAACTAGAATTTGTGCTTAAAATGATTAATATTAGAACGTCGAGAGTCGGGTGTCGATGTCGTTTATCAGTCATCAAGAGAGGAGATGAAAATACATTCACTGCCAAAGAGAAATGAAAATGAGAATATTCGATGAATGGGGTATCTAGTGCGGGCGATTGATTTTGTGTTATGGATAGGAAATAAGAAATTTAGTTTTTATATTTTAAATAAGTAAAAATTTTAAATAAAAGAAATTATATTTAAAAAAATCATAAAATATTTAAGATACGCGTGTCCAATTTCTATTTAATATTTTTTAAAATCATAAAATATTTTCGGTGTGTCCGACACGTGCAGGGGCGGATCCTCAAAAATTTTTTTTTTTAATTTTAGAGGGATATTTTGAGTATTTTGCCCCCTCTCAAAAAAATTTTTTGCCTTCATTTAATCAATCGTAAGCATCTTTGCCCATCCCCACAAAATTTTTTTTTTGCCCACCCTGAAAAAAGAAGCTGGATCCGCCCGTGGACACGTGTCGAAGGAGTGTCGAACGCGTGTCGTGTTGGATACGTGTTGGACACTGCACGCCTCTTTCAGGAGAAGTGTCGGTGGCTCGGTGCATCATAGGCGGGTACTCAACATCATGGGACAAACCGATTTACATTACTAATTACCATATGCATGCAGTATATTACAATAAGCCTTACTACGCAGTGCGCAACACTAAACCGCGTCGGGACCACGATAAATTTTGATATGTGGCTTGAAAGTTTACAGTTGGAGAAAAGGTTAACAAACCTCAATGCCATTAATCCGTGACAGACTGCATTCAAGAAGCATGGAAAGTGAATAGGTGTGGGTGGGTATGACATCCCGAAAGTCACCATAGGTGGGCGTGGGTGGGCAAAGCCTACCAGCACAGTGGATGGGTACCCAATGGGTACCCAACCAGGATCCCATGTAGAGCTTTGCTGAGAAGCTAATCACCATTTACTTGTTATATATGCAGACGGTGGCAACATTTGCCGGACACTTGGATTTCTCATTTGCTTCAGCCTGGCATCCCGACGGTCTGACCTTTGCGACGGGGAATCAGGATAGAACGGCCCGAGTGTGGGATGTTCGAAACCTTTCATCGTCGCTGGCAATTCTCAAGGGCAATCTGGGCGCAGTTCGTTCCATCAGATACTCGTCCGATGGGCAGTTCATGATCATGGCGGAACCGGCAGACTTCGTTCACATCTTTAGCACCAAAGCTGATTACAAGAAGAGGCAGGAACTAGATTTCTTTGGGGAGATATCAGGGGTGGCACTGAGCCCAGATGATGAATCTTTGTTCATAGGAGTCTGGGATAGGGTTTATGCCAGCTTGCTACAGTACAGCATGCGACACAAATTCGGTTACCTAAACGCATTCATGTAATGCTCTTATTGTGTTCTGTTGTGTTCTCACTTCTCTGCCAGGGACTGGCTAAGCTGCTTATTGTTGTTTATTGAGCACTAGGGAAGAGAGATGGAAGAGGATATAACTACACATGTATAGAACGTTGGATTTTAAACTAATGCCTTTTTTAAATTTCTCAATGCATTTCTTATGTATTTGATGCAATTTTTTCTTCAGAATGGTATCGAAAAATTCAACCTAATTTTTTTTTTAATGATATTGCTTTTGTTTATTACATATAAATATTTTATTATGTATTTTATAATGATTTTTTTTATAAGTTTTGAATTTAGTTGTAAATTAAATTTTTTATTATTTTGCTCTAATAGAAATATACCATTAATTTTTAAGGTTTTTCATGAGTGAAATTATCTAATAATATCCTAGCCAATGTGGATAATTAATGTGGATAATTAAATATTTTTATGAAAATTATATTTATATAAATAAAAACGTATGATATATAAATAACTAGTGCACTTTTATATCAAAACAAAGAGATCGAACCTTATGGCCTTTTCCTTTTTGGTCTGTCGTTCTGATTGTTTAGAAAAAAAAAGTTTGATTTTGAGCAAAAACATAATATTAAATTTTATTGGATATTATCATAAATATTTGCCTCTTATATATTATAATACACTGTACACCAGCTTATTATAATATAATAATTGTGATAGTTGACAAAACATATTTGAAAATACTTTATTAATCCTAATCAATATTCAATAAGAATTATTTAGTTATAAGAATTATTTAGTTTTAAATATAAAAATTATATAAATCATTTTATATCTTTAAATTCAGAACTCTAATATATTGAGCATGTGATTAAGATATGATTTAATATTGATATAGAATAACTAGATAGCATGTGCGCACTTATATATGATTTTATATATTTATACAATTTCTCTATTGATTGTAGTATTGATATAATGATTGCTTTAGTGATTTGACGCTCATACTGATTTATTATTTTATGTTTCATACAGGTTTACTAATTATACACTAATTCAATGATCATATATGCATCTGCTATGATTTGACTATTGACATGCTTATTGATCCTTTGTCGTGCTTTGAGTTCAATTACAGGATTTGATTTTCTGCTGAGCTTTTGAGCTTATTATATTTGATTAAATGAATTGTGATGCCCTAGAATCTAATTTGAAAGAACTAGATTATGATTTCAAATTATATTCAGGGGCATCAAATAAAGTATTATTTGGAATTGAGATACAAACTCATATAGACCCATCAATATAGTTTTTGTATCATCATCCCAAGACACTATATCCTTCTTTCTCAGCTCTTGGATGTGATTCCAAACAATTCTTTGATATTTAATTTGTTTTTTTTTTGTTTTGCTCAACTTTGATCTCAATATCAAATTTCTCTTTTAAATTTTAAGTGCCACCTTGATAGACAACATCTTTAAAGTCTCGAGTATTTCTCATATTTGCATCAACATGCTCACACATTATCTGTAATAACCCATATATTGCTTCTGGTTTTAGATTCCATTTTTTCTCTTCTTCATTTAGCAATAGATGCATTAAATGGGTCTTGTGACTCCATTAATATTGCAAATAGCCATTTAGTTTGCAAATAAAAAAAAATGAGACAACATCATTAGTGTACCAGTATTGTAGAGATGAGGGATAATGCATCAACAATTGAATAAATGCAATAAATAGTACATGTTCTTTAAAAATTGCAAGTAAGAATTTAGGCAAATACAATTCCTCAAAGCTTTCAATTTCCTCAATTTTATAAAATCTACCCATTGAATAATTTCCATTTCAATTACAATTACAAAGGAATATCTATAATAAAATTTTAGTACTTTTAAAAAAGCATCATAAACATTAGAATGGTCTCATTTGTTCAATATTCATAAAAATTATCACACAAAAATTAATAGTGTTTAGGATGCATTGGAGGAGGATTCATGGTTTGATTTGAATAGACAATGTCGAAGTTTATAGAAAACTCCGAAATTGACCTTAAGAGTCATTTTGGTCATTTTGACCCCTATTTAACTGGGGGATCAAAGTGAGTCTACCAACATATCTTGATCAAGGGTCTGGATGTGGTTAGAGACTTTGGAAAAGACTCTAAGATCAAATTCCACTATATGGTCAGTCCAGTAGCATAGGTCGCAAATATTTAAAGGTTTTACAACTTTTGGAAATATATTCAATTTTTAGGGCTAGAGGTCTTAGAATAAGTTCAAATTTGAAGGGTATACCCTATAGACATGCCTAATCAATATGCAATTGATAGATCATGATTCAGTGGTCATTTGATTAGAGTTTGAAGTATTTGAAAAATCACTAAAAAAGACTTTTAGGACCTAGGTCTTTAGCATTGGATTTTGATTTGGAAATTTGGATTTGAGTTGAGTTTTGAATTTGATTACTTGAATTTGAATTATCCAAACCAATTACAATTAATGGAATGATCATAAGTGATTGAAAAAGGTTGAAGTTAGATTGGAGGCTGGATCAAAGTTTAAACTAGAATTGAGATTTGGACAAGTTTGAAATCTGGATATGTTTGAAGTTTGAATTGATTTGAGGTTTGAATTAGCTTAAATCTAGATTGATCAAAGATCTGGACTGATCATAGGGCCGGGATTGATCTAGGGTATGAATAAATTCTAAGGTCTGAGCAGATCCTAGGGTCGGGATAAATCTTAGGTCTGGATAGATCCTGGGGTTAAATAAATCCTAGGATCTAGATAGATCTTAGGGACTGGATTGGTCATAGTGACCTCATACAAAAATGAGGTCAATAAAAGTATGCCTGAATGGTCTTATTAAATGGTCTTAAAATAGCATATATATTCTTTCTAAAAGAATATTTTTATTCTTTCATATTGGGTATTTTGTAATTCTACTATGGAGACTCACAATTACTTATTTTTTTGAGTGTGATTATTCTTTTCATGTTTTAACTTTATCCTAGTCTTACTCAAATTTTTCTTAGGCCAATTTCTTTTTAAAATTTAGATTTTATTTCTAATCTTAATGTGTCTTATAATGTTAATCACTTTTTTCTTTTTAGCATCTTGTTGTTCTTTGTATTATTTGTGGAGAGAGAGAAATGAGATGAGATTCTCTAGTAAATGTTTGAATTTCGATTTGATTTTTGGTTTGTTGCATTAGGCGGCTTTTCTAAGGTTTCTTTTTGGAAATCTTTTAATGAAATTAAGTGTTTTTTGGTTTGATGGTTTTTTCTAGTCTTGGGTTCTACTTGGTTGGTTGGTGGTTGTGCTTCATGATGTTTAGATTTAGGTGTTTATTTTTGCTTGGCTTGTTATTATTGTTAACCAATTTTTTATCTAGATGGACAATAATAGCAGTCAAATCTTCCTATGTCCTGGGGAGTGGAGAGTTTGCTTTTCTTTTTCTTTGTCTTTTTATGTTATGTTTTTCTTTACTAACTTTTGGTCATGTTATTATTGTAGTTCTTGTCCTTTGTTTAGTTTTCTGCTTAATTTCGATGATAGGATGGTTTTTATTTTTTTGACTTTATCAGGTGACTTTATTTGAGCTTGTCTTTGTTTCGGATAGCGAGTGAGCTGTCTTTGTTGGACAGCAGGTTATCTTGTTTATGTTGGTGATCCAGATTGGTTTGGCTAGTCTCTATTACTACTTTGTTCATGGTTGGAAGGCTGGGTTTTTGCTATTGTTACTAATTTTGATACTTTGGAATGACATTAGTTATTTGTTTGGCAAGGATTGGCTAGGTGTCTGGATCTGATGGCTCTGGCTTTGATGGTTGTTTGGCTTGCATTTGATTTGTTTTTTGAGTTGGACTCTGGTAGCTTTGGATAGTTCTTTTGGGTCCTATTTGCCTTTGTTGGGCTTTTGTATGATTGTTATATCTTCTTTTTATTGTGGTTTGTCCTATTGACATTTTTTAATCAAGATTGATAGATTTTTCTTTTTTTTATTCTCTTTTTTCAAGGCTATAATTATAAGTTTTTCTTACTTCTCTTGAAATTCTGGAAGTTCTTATTCTTTTTTTAATGAAAATTGGGCATGATTGGTCCTAATTTTCTAAAAGAAAAAAATCCAAATATGTTATTGTTAAATACAATTAAAAAACTAAATAAATAAATTAAGCTTGATTCGCATCACTAGTGCGCCGTTCCATTTCCGATCATATTAGGCTTCGGCGGTGCCTTTCTAAGTTTCTTCAATCGAGTGATTGAACCTAGGAATTGAACTGACACCCTTTGATCATGGCGGAGGAACTGAAGGACAGAGAGAGGGAGGCCGAAGTGGTAGGGGATGATGAGTTGGAGGAAGGCGAGATCCCAGACGACGAGTCACCGGAGGATTCGTCGGATCCGAAGAGCGGAGAACCGATCGCGATACAGCCGCACCCTTTGGAACATTCGTGGACGTTCTGGTTCGACGATCCATCCGCCAAAGCGAAGCAAAGCGCTTGGGGAAGCTCCATGCGGCCCATCCACACTTTCCACACGGTTGAAGATTTCTGGAGGTTTGCTGCTGCTTCTTGATCTCATGCTTTGTTTGAGGACGGTGTCTATGTTGATTCAAAGGTTTTGCTCGCTGGGATATAATTATACGTTTTCAGATTTTTGTTTTTCATTTGTTTTTTCCTAATTGGTGGTTGGGGCAAATATTAGTTTGTTTGACTGATAAGAAATTGTTTGTTATCCTGGATTGAGCTTATAGATAAAGCGATATTTCGCTAGTTTTTTTAGAGGCGAACTAATTTTAGCCTGTACGTTAGGTTCTCGTTGCTACTTGGTTTGTTAATAATTGCTGTTGGCGAAGCGCTGACTGCAAAGCTTTTATTTGTCGAACCTCTTGTTAGCCGAAACATATTGTAGCAATTCCCGGTACTTTTGTGGCTCGCAGTTGATTTTCTTTTTTCTGTTCTGCAAACTGCTTATGAGAGAACAAAGAAAGTCAATGGTTGGCCCCTATCTAATGGGAAGAGTTAGAAACCCGAGACCTTGTTCTTCTATGCTCAAGACTTGCACATCAATTAAACAGGAGCAAGATGTGATTCATAGTTAGAAACCCTAGTTATGTCCTGCCAACTCACAACAAAAATTAACCGAATTTTCCAAAACTATAGTAAAAATTGTGCGATCATCGTGAATTAGTGGACACTAGACTATCGAACTGTGAACAGAGAAAAAAGCATGAGAGAAATATTTTCTAGAACCTGTAAGGTCCCAATGGTAAACTTTATATATCACAATTATCGTACGACACTCCATCAAAGAAAAGGACATGTTGGGTTCTATGCGAACCTGATAAAAACCAAAGTAAAGTGCAGCATTTAAACATTAAGAAGCAATTTTTCATAGTTTGTCTATTACGTAGTTGATTTTCCAAAAATCTGATGATGACTTAGACATTGATGGCGTAATTGATCACCTAGTTAACTGTGAGGTCAATCAGCAATGACCTCTACTATGGATTGAGAGAAGGGCATACTTAAAAAAAAAATGTATTGAAAATGATAGTGATTTCCCACTCCATCAGTCATAAATTATGAAATTTCTATTTTCCATGGTTATTATGGTTATATCATTTTCATCATTAGTCGTATCTCAACTATGAGGGATTAGCTTTATGAGTCTTTGTTTTTTCTTAATGACTATTATATGAGGTGCTAAACCAATTTATGCAAGTCTCTTTATACAACTTCTATTCATGCTATCTTTAATCTACTCTTTTTTCTTTTAGATCTTTTATCATTAATTTTCTTAGAATAAGAAAGTTCTAGTAATTTTTTTATAGACAAGGGATATTAATTTTTTTTTATCATAAACATATACAAAAAATAATGTCGCCTAATCAATGAGAAGTAATTACAAGCTCCATGAGCAAAAATGTAAAATTTTGAGTTTTTGACACAACACAAATGGTATGTATTTCCAAAGTCAACTATAGAGTATAGACCATGAGATTGATAGGGTAATATTCTTATGAATAAGAAAGTGCTCTTATTATTGCCTCGAGGCTTACGCCTCGATTTCTTTTATGAGGCTTACGCCTCAGCTTGGTTGAGGCCCGCCTTGAGGCGCGCCTCGCCTCACTAGCATGAGGCTTACGCCTCACCCTATATATATAAAATTTACATAAATTCGAAAATAAAACCCCGAACAAATCACACTTTATACACCCCGAGTTGCAACAACTTTCTCTCAACTGCCTTAAACTCTAGCCCGTTGCATTTTCCACAGCCACCACCGTCATGGCCATCATCAAGGATCACTTGAAAGCCGCACACTACCACATCTAAAAATTTTGGAGTATTAATCTCATCTTTATGTTGATGAAAAATATTTATAAATGAGGAATATGCTTTAAATAAATGAAGAAGCATATTGGGAGGCATTGGATTACACAGGATGAGACAGAGAAGAGACCAATTTATTATAATGACGACTCAAATAAAGATCCTCTCAATTATGACAATACAAATAATTTTCTAGTTGTTGCCAACTATTTCAGCTTTTTTTAGAAATTAAATTTAGATGAGTAGGGAATTGAGAAAGAAAGAATTTGAAGTTGAATTTAATGTTATATGATATTTTTTATGCAATTTCTATATTTAATAATTTTTTGCTTATGTAATATTTGTATTTCAATTATATTCCATACAATTTATCACTAGCCACTTTACATCTTGTGCAAATTTTTATTTCATATTCATGTCATTGTGTTACTTCATAGTTCAATAGAAAGATAATATGTCGTCTTTTAACATATTATTTGTGTATTATATTAAAAAATACTTTAAAAATTATTTGCACTTAATGCAATTTTTTACTTTGAGGCTTATGCCTCGCCTCACGAACAAAAAACGCCTCAATACTTATTTGCGCAATTTTAAACATTGATTTTGACACAACACAAATGGTATGCATTTCCAAAGTCAACTATAGACCATGAGATTGATAGGGTAATATTCTTATGAATAAGAAAGTGCTCTTATTATTCTTGTGGGTAAGAATCATTGAGTTTCATCATGGGCATGTACAAAAATAATTAGGGTAATTAATAAGACCTAATAATAGAATATTTGATCTAAAATGCAAAAAAATAAATTAACTCAAACAATTTGCATTTCCGCCTCAGTTTTAGACCTTGAGATTTACATTATTTATGTCTGATTTGATAATTTTTTGCTACGAAGTACTAGTTATTTAATACTTTTTGAGCATATTTGGGCATTGTTTTTGGATTTCTAGTAAAGAACGCTGAATTATTATGTGGATGCCTATTTTTCCTTCTAACAAGTTATCTTTGATATCTATCATTATTAGTGGACAGTTGGACACTATCTCATCTTCAAGAATAATTATGGGAAAATAATTTTATTTTAATTTGAAAATTAATGAGATTATTTATGTGGTAGATTTGAATTCAGCGGATAAAATATGAGAATAATCCAATGTTTTTTTAACTGGATAAAGTCATATTTGGCACATTAAAAATTGGATCGGTACCATAATTTTTAGAATATCTAGTTTATTTATGCAAAATTCCTATACCTGCTACTTGATATAGAGATACGTCCTTACTTGCCTGCAACTCCACACTACAATCCCACTAGTTCCCATTGCTTTCCCACTATGGATTTTCCGCTTAGTTACTTCTCGCACCTTACCTTCCCACAACTTCCTAAAGTTCCTGTGATTGTCACTATTACCTAGCCCTGTTCAGGTTCTTTAGCTGCTCATCATTATGGGAAAACTCTTATTTTGTCTATATCCTTAAGCAAATTAGGAAGTGAAATTTATGAAATAGGTTTATATTATTGGAATTCATGTTGGGTGTATTAAAATTTTTTGTTTTTGAGTATATTTCTATAGATTTTTTTTAGTTTGTTATTATGGATCCTTTGAAGCCTATAAATAAGATCCCGGGTCATGTAAAAATAGTTGGACATTAAATATTGTAATGAAAGTTAAGATTTTTTTCTCTTCATGTGTGCTTATATGATGTATATTCTTTTGGTGCTTCATAGTTGTGGTTAACTATTTTTGAGTGCGAGTCTCATGAAGCATGATTGTTCATTTTGTGGTAATTTCTATCAATTTTCTTTTCTTTTAAATTATTTAGTTTTTGGTTTTGTGTGGTGATTGAAATTTTTGCTAGTAGGATACATACTTGGTTTACCTTTTGAAACATGAACTTGATTAGTTGATGAATTTTATTATTTCTTGTTGTTTTCTTGTAGAATATTAAATTTTAGTGATTATTAAATTAACTTGTGGAGTGAATAAAGTCTACTTCTTGTCCTTACGTTTGAAAAGATAAATTTTTACTTGAACATATGGATTGTGAATTTTTTTGGTGTTTCAGCTTACATCTCTTTCTTGGTTGCATTAGAAATTCTGGACCTCATCTATCTATCAAATTGGGTATCAGAGCTTACATTTGCATCATTATATTGATTAAAAGTATGACGCAATAATTCAGTTGATAAAAATAAATTAAAGGATACATTTTAAGTTAAGTCAAGCAAGTCAATGTTCTAAACAAGTACAAATAACTATTAAGAAGATTAGAACTATATATATCTACATTTGATGGAAGGCATAACCTGGAGATATTTTAAGAATGGATTGCTAATTTAACCTACTTGAACCCTGACATAGTGGGATGTAGGCTTCAGTTGTTAAAATTGCTTTAAAGAAATAAGTTGGAACTGCTTGAACTTATTGGTGTAGCGTTACTAGAGAAATGCAATCCAAATAGGCTGACATGAGACAGATTTAAAGAACAATAAATGTCAAATGAAAAAAATCTGGATCATTTGAATGACCACTTTAAGGGTTTTAGATGAAATAGTTATAAGCTATATGTATATTTTGATAAATTTATAATTATTATTGTTGAACATGCTTTGCCTTGAGACTACTTTACTACATCACGTGCTTCACTAAAATTCTCATGTAAGATATTCTAACTATCTTAAGCTTCAACTTACTAAGAATCCTATGTGAAGCCTTAACTTGATCTTTGAATATTGAGACATACTATAAATAATATTTTAGTATTACCACACTTTTAATTAAAATCCTTATAGAGAAATCATTATTTTCTCCTCCCAAACTATTAAAAAATATGACAAAAAAATTATGTATTATCCATCCTGATCTTATTTAAGAAAGTGTAAACCATGAATATCCTTTTCAAAATGAATTAGATAAAGATTTTGATTTATTATTGGGTTATTTTGATGATATGGTGCTCGAATATGCAACAAAATTAGCATATATTCTTGAATCGCCATCTAAACAAAAGTCAAAGATCAAAATTGAGATTGAGTTTTAGTTTGCATCTGATTGTGTTGAATCGAAGCACGTGCCTATATTATAATTTGTTCATGGACCCAAGCTTACTCTTGAGCAAAAATTGCAACCTTGAATATAAAGTTGAAGTTAAGATCTTAGAAAAATGTACCTATGTCAGAAGAAAAATCAAAATACGAGCATGAAATCAAATTTA